GGAGTTGCACCTGGACGCCTTTCGGAGGCGCCTGGTTGGGGAAAGCTCCTTATTCTAGGCGCTTGCGGTCAGAATCTATAGTTTCTACGGTTTGAAAAGACGCAGGAAAGGGCCAGGAAAGTTAAAGCTGGGTCATTTTTTTCTTCTAGGGTCTGTCCCACTTGCACGCCCACCATGTCATCCACCGAGATATTAAAGGGCAGAACGTGCTGTTAACAGAAAATGCTGAAGTAAAATTGGGTACGTAGATGATCCTTCTGGATTTCCTCCGGACCCGTCCAGGCTACTGCATAACAAACAGCCCAGATTGTCTTTTATAAGCCTGTTATTAAAAAAAAGCTGAAGTACAGTACAGTCCTCGAAGGGTTTAAACTGTGAGGAAATCCCGAAATTGGGCACGGTTTTCTGGCCGCGAATACATAAGTATATCTGTAACTGTGGTAAAATCCCAAAATCAGGCAGTTTTCTAGCCACAAATACATAAATATATCTGTAACTGTGGTGAAATCTCGAAATCTGGCACGGTTTTCTGGCCGCGAATACATAAATATATCTGTAACTCTGGTGAAATCCTGAAATTGGGCACGGTTTTCTTGTCCCGAATACATAAATATATCTGTAACTGTCGTAAAAAACCCTAAATCAGCAGAGTTTTCTGGCCGCGAATACATAAATATATCTGTAACTGTGGTGAAATCCCAAAATTTGGCACGGTTTTCTGGCCGAAAATACATAAAGATATCTATAACTGTGGTGAAATCCTGAAATTGGGCACGGTTTTCTTGTCCCGAATACATAAATATATCTGTAACTGTGGTAAAAATCCCCAAATCAGCAGAGTTTTCTGGCCGCGAACACATAAATATATCTGTAACTGTGGTGAAATCCCGAAATCGGGCACGGTTTTCTGGCTGCGAATACATAAATATATCTGTATCTATATATCTGGGAGTACTTTTAAGGATTTCAGCTGCGGTCAAATCCCGAAATCGGGCACGGTTTTCTGGATGGCTACACACGTGTCATCTTCTGTCAGATTGAACATGGAGGGCAAAGCTGCCCGAATGAGCAATCAAGTGCAGCTTAATGGCTCCAATTAGGATATTCCTTTTTCGAATTTATCGGCAACTCAAGTGGAATCTCAGCCCCATGTCAGCCTCGAAGCGCTTCAGAAAGAGCAGGAAAGTGTAGCTGCTGCATGAACAGAGGATTTCCACCTCTTCTTTGAGGCCTCCGAGGAAGATATTGGGCACTTCTGAATCCCTCAGTAGCTACACTGTGCTTCTCTGTGACCTCTGAGCTCAAAGGCTGGTGGTCTTTTTCATATCCGAAAGAACCAGCCTTCGATCGAATGAGTTTTGCATCCTGCCTTGTTCTCCGTCTGTATATAATACGCAGTTGTCAAAAGTATTGCTTTGTGATATTTTTTTTCCCTTCCTTTTTTCTTTTTGCAGTCGATTTTGGAGTCAGTGCTCAGCTGGACCGGACGATTGGCAGGAGGAACACTTTTATTGGGACACCTTATTGGATGGCTCCTGAAGTCATCGCTTGCGATGAAAACCCAGAATCAACCTATGATTACAGAGTAAGTTTTCCCATTGAGTTCTATCTACTCCAAGTCAACGGAAAGGAAACATACATTTGCTCCTTATTAGGAGAAAAAAAAATAATTCCTCCGATTGAACTATTCAGTGGTGTCCAATCTTGGCAACTTTAAGACTTGTGGATGTTGACTTCCAGAATCTATCTATCTATCTATCTATCTATCTATCTATCTATCTATCTATCTATCTATCTATCTATCTATCTATCTATCTATCTATCATCTATCTATCTATCTACAGTTCTTATTTAAATAAACAACAATTAAGTATAAACATTTTTCTCATGTTTCCTCTTTGACTCTGGTTTTTCATTCATCAACGTCTTTTGTTTCCTAGAGTGACTTGTGGTCCTTAGGCATCACCGCAATAGAAATGGCGGAAGGAGCTCCCCGTAAGTTGATTGCATCTCACTCTTTGTTGTTTGTGGGAGGGTGTATCATCCAGCAGGCAGCTTTAATACCAGAGCGCTTTAATACAGGTGTGGTTGCAGGTTCTGACTTTATTTGTGTGCATTCAGAACATTTTGATTCATAATGTTGGAAGCTGAAGCCCTGATTTATACAGTTAGTCCAGTGGTGGGATTCAGCCAATTTGCACCACTTCGGCAGAACCGGTAGCTAATTTTTTGTTGCCCAGGCCCAGAATTGACTTCTGGAAGCGGCATCCACGCAGAGAACCGGTTGTTCACGTATTGAATCCCACCACTCCTTCCTTCCTTCCTTCCTTCCTTCCTTCCTTCCTTCCTTCCTTCCTTCCTTCCTTCCTTCCTTCCTGTGGTGGGATTCAGCCAGTTCGCACCACTTTGGCAGAACCGGTAGCCAATTTTTTGTTGCCCAGGCCCAGAATGGACTTCCGGAAGCGGCATCCACGCAGAGAACCGGTTGTTCACGTATTGAATCCCACCACTCCTTCCTTCCTTCCCTCCTTCCTTCCTTCTTTCCTGTGGTGGGATTCAGCCAGTTCGCACCACTTTGGCAGAACCGGTAGCTAATTTTTTGTTGCCCAAGCCTAGAATGGACTTCCGGAAGCGGCATCCACGCAGAGAACCTATTTGAATCCCACCACTGTTTTTGATCCCGTGACTGACTTTTAAACAGTATCACAATTTCAATGTTTTTGTTTGTTTGTTTTGGTCACCATATTATAAGAAAGATGTAGAGACTCTGGAAAGAGTGCAGAGAAGATCAACTAAGATGATTAGGAGGCTGGAGGCTAAAACATAGGAAGAACAGTTGCAGGAACTGGGTATGGTTAGCCTAGAGCAGGGGTAGGCAACCTTGGCTCTTTTATGACTCGTGGACTTCAACTCCCAGAATTCCTGAGCCAGTATGGGTGACATGATAGCAGCGTTCCAATATTTGAGGGGCTCCTACAAAGAATTGGGGGTCAAGCTATTCTCCAAAGCCCCTGAAGGCAGGACAAGAAGCAACGGATGGAAACTAATCAAGGAGAGAAGCAACCTAGAACTAAGGAGAAACTTCCTGACAGCGAGTGCAATTAACCAGTGGAAGAGCTTCTCTCCAGAGGTTGTGGGTGCTCCATCACTGGAGGTTTTTAAAAAGAAACTGAACAGCCATTTGTCCAGAGTGGTATAGAGTTTCTTGCTTGAGCACGGGATTGGACTAGATGTCCTCCAAGGTGCCTTCCAACTCTATTATTCTGTTTTTGTTTAGGTTTTTTGCACCAAAGTATGTGCTGTACAGCTGACTCTTTTCTTGTTAAAAGCAAAAAATAATAATAATGGATCTGCTACTCAGTATGTGTCCAATTCTTACCCCCTTTTGAAGTCATTGTGTGGCTTCTACGCCACAAAAATCTCCTCCTGCCCCCACGCTGGGTTGCAGCTGCAAGAATTGTGGTTTTCTGTGTCAGACGATACAGGCTAATATGGAAATAGCGAGGCGTTAGCAGCTGGAGGGAATCGTGAAAATTAGCAAGGCCTTTGTCTTAGAAAGCAGTGAGGGCAAGAAGGGAAGAGAAAGATGCTTCACACATTCAGACTCATCTTTCTCGTCGCTGCGGAGAGCCTTCAAATGTAGATCGGCCGCGCTGGAATGATTAGTGTTGTGTCCCCCAACTGCAAAGGGAAGCTTTTCAGATGGGTTTGATTTTCACACTTTCACACTCCTTACCAGCAAAGGCCAGTTGAGACATGCAATTTTTGATGAGTAACCAGTGATGGAGCACCCACAACTTCTGGAGGGAAGCTCTTCCACTGGTTAATTGTTCTCATTTTTAGGAAATTTCTCCTTAGTTCCAGGTTGTTTCTCTCCTTGGTTAGTTTCCACGCAATCAAAGGGAAGCTATCCCTGGGGAGAGGAACCTTCTGAAGATGTTGCTTGTTGGAGGAACAACCTACAGCATCTCTTTCCTGTCTCTGCCTCTTAAACCCCAGCGTCTTCCATGGGGTTCCAATAGTGATGAATCAAAGCCGCTTTGGGTAAAGGAGCATGAGGGAATGGAAAGAATCCGGTTTATATCCTTTAGCCCTGTGATGGATTAAAGGTTGTTTTCTGGAAGTTAATGGATGGTCATAAAAGTGTTTAGATTATGGGATGAGAAGAAGACAAGGGCTGCATTGTCTAGTCAAGGAACAGCTTGCCTGAGCAGTCTAGTGTTGATGTGACCTTCAAAGCCAGTGCTCACTTCCTGTGGGTGATTTCTATGCACACAAGTAGACTATCACAAAACTGTTTGGAATAAGGGTGTCCAATCTTGCCAAATTTTAAGGCTTGTGGACTCTGAGTTCCAGAATTCCTAAGCCAGCATTCCCCAGTCAGAATTCTGGGATTTGAAATCCACAAGTCTTAAAGTGGCCAAGGTTGGACATCCCTGGTTTAGATGAAGCTTCCTGACAGTTTTTTAGTATCTCACCATGCAGGATTGGAGAACTTAAGCAACAGTGACGGGCAGTGGGGATGTAAACCCGTCTCGAAGTGCTTTTTAAAAATCTTTTATGTTTGTGTGGGTGTGCTTTTTTTAAATTGCAGCTTTGTGTGACATGCATCCCATGCGAGCTCTCTTTCTGATTCCACGGAACCCTTCTCCAAAACTGAAATCCCGGAAATGGTAAGTGTTTGATTTCAGTTATAATGAATCCGTAGTTGTGTATTGTTAGGATGGAAGGTCTGTTGGGCCCCTCAACAGTTGCCATCTCATCATGTCCTTCAGATTGAAGTCGATGGGCTCTCTGAGCTTGGCGGTTTCCTTGCAGACGTTTCATTACCCAACTAGGGAACATCATCAGTGTTAGAAGGGAATGGGAGTTAGTGGAATGGGTGGTGGTGGTGGTGATGGTGGTGGTGGAGGAGGAGGAGGAGAACGATATGGGGTCCTTGATACTGTCTGAGTTTGGTTGTTTTCTTGCAGATGTTTCATTACCCAACTAGGGAACATTATCAATTGTAGAAGGGAATGTGGATTAGTGGAATGGGAGGAGGAGGAGGAGGAGGATAACTATGGGGTTCTTGATGCTGTCTGTGCTTAGTTATTTTCTTGCAGATGTTTCATTACCCAACTAGGGAGCATCATCGGTGTTGGAAAGGAGTAAGGTTTGCTCTCTGTTTACATACAAATGGCTTGCCCTGTCCCCATTGATGGAAGCTATGTTTCCCTTTTGGTAGCACTGATGATATTACCTAGTTGGGTAATGAAACATCTGTAAGAAAACAATCAAGCTCGGAGAGCACCAAGGACCCCACAACTAAAAGACTAGAAATACCCCTCAAAAGAGGAAGAAAGTCAAGCAAGCCATGGTTAGTTTGCTGATCCTTAAGTTTAATAAGACACCATAAAAGCAAGATCTTGGCTTAGTCTGACATGGGAACCTAACTATTTTGCTTTTGTCTTAGAAGAAGACACAACCAAGTTCTCCATGAAGTTAGGTTATTTATGTCATTTTTCCTGTTGTTGTTGTTTTTTAAGGTCAAAAAAGTTTCTCAACTTTGTGGACAGTTGCTTGGTTAAAAATTACACACATCGCCCTGTGACTGAGACCTTGCTCAAACATTCCTTCATCAGGGACATGCAAAATGAACGCCAAGTACGCATCTTGCTAAAAGATCATCTAGACAGAACCAGGAAGAAAAAAGGAGAAAAAGGTAATGTCCATGTTCCGGTCACTATTGACCTTAAAGAGTGGCTTGCATGGAAGAGTAAAGCCTGAAAATCAGTTTGTACATCAAGTAATGACGAAGGAAGGCATCTCATAGGTTGAGAGTAGAGGAAGGGTCAAAGAAATTAGACATAAAAAACATAAATTGGATATTAAAAAAGGGGTGAAATTTTGAACATAGAGCCTCAGTTAAAATGATTTTTTCCATCTCTTCTTGGGGATCCCTTTGCCATAAATGGTTAATCTTTGGGTGGACTCAAATCCCCGGATGTCCAGCCAGCATGCTTCAAGATGAGTTGGCTTCAATTCCCAGAATTCCCCACCCAACTGGCAATCTTTGAGATGAGTGAGATAGAAAGGTGTGTGTGTGTGTGTGTGTGTGTGTGTGTGTGTGTGTGTGAGAGAGAGAGAGAGAGAGAGAGAGAGAGATGAAAGAGAGTTATGGAAGAGAGAGAGAGAGATGGAAGACCTGATATAGAGGAAGATAGATAGATGATAGATAGATAGATAGATAGATAGATAGATAGATAGATAGATAGATAGATAGATAGATAGATAGATAGAGCAATCTGATAATTCAGTTCCTTTCCTCCATGTGCACTTTCTTTTGCTCTCCCTCCATCCCTCCCTCCTCTCTCTCTCTCTCTCTCTCTCTCTCTCTCTCTCTCTCTCTCTCTCTGTCTGTCTGTCTGTCTGTCTGTCTGTCTCATAGACACATACACAGACACACACACACACACACACACACACACAAACATATGGAACAGATTTTCTGTACCGTGCCTGGAACAATAATGCGTCTTTGTATGACTTTGCTTCCCATCCCTCTCTCTCTTTTTTTTTTTTAGATGAAACAGAATATGAGTACAGTGGAAGTGAGGACGAAGGGGAAGAGCTGAACGAAGAGGAAGGCGAACCAAGGTCTCATTGTGCATTTGCAGATCAAATCGGAACAGTTCCACGATGGTCCCCTAAGGGACCAAGATTTTCCCAGCCTGTTGACATCCACGGGTCTTAAAGTTGCCAAGGGTGGCAGGTGTCTTCTAAGTTATCCTGTTACCTTCACCATTGTTAGAAGATGCTTTCTAGGTTGGCCACGTTGAAACCCATGTCAGTTTCTCTTAAGCAGGGTGACCGTCCTCTGTAGGGCTACGGGATCTGGTTTGCAAAAATCACGGATGCTTAAATGACAGGAAAAAGGCAGGGCAGATTGGGTAACCCTCACCACCAGTGTATTCTGCAGGAAAAGATGGGAAAATAAATATTGTAGTGTAGCTCCAGTCTGTGTGTGTTGGGTGTGGAGGGAAGGAACGAGTTGGCTAATAAGGAGCCACGGATTCCAAGTGTCTCTAATCTTTTCTCTTTTTTTAAAGTGAAACAAAAACTGCGCAGGGCCCCTGCTCCAGCCGCTGAGGTTTTTTAAGAAATTCAGCTTAACTAGGACTGCATTTTTCTAGGGCTTTTATGCCTTCTCCTCCTCCACCTCCTCCCCCCCACAACCACCCAGAACCTCAGCAGATGGGTTTCCATGCAAATTCAAAAATATAGCTGAATCCTTCTTTTGTTCCTCTTCCAGTGTTTGCTGTTGAATGCAAAGTGTGAACAGATGCTAAAATTGGTTTGGGGAAGGCAGCGGTGAAGTGAGGTCTCTAGCGAACAGATAATCAGCTTTAGCTGGGATTTTGAAAAGTTGCTAAAACAGAGGCTGGTCTGGGAGCTGAACCAGGGAGTTTCTGCAGAGAGTTATTTTTTGGCAAGTTTTTTGGCATTTGCTGGACTGTCTTAATACTAGAATTAGTCAAACAGATTATCCTTCGTTCCTTTCTTTCTTTCTTTCTTTCTTTCTTTCTTTCTTTTTCTTTCTTTCTTTCTTTCTTTCTTTCTTTCTTTCTTTCTTTCTTTCTCTTTCTTTCTTTCTTTCTTTCTTCCTTCCTTCCTTCCTTCCTTCCTTCCTTCCTTCCTTTTTTCTTTCCATCTTTTTCTTTCTCTCTTCTCTCTTTTTCTCTTTTCTCTCTCTCTCTTTCTCTTTCTTTCTCTCTCCCCCTCTTTTTTCTCTTTTTTCTTTTCTCTCTCTTTCTCTTTCTCTCCCTTTTCTCTTCCTGTCTCTTTCTCGGTCTCATTTTGCGTCCATGTGTGTTTCCAAATTAAGCTCCATCGTGAATCTCCCGGGCGAATCCACCCTGCGCCGAGAGTTCCTCCGACTTCAGCAGGAGAACAAATCCCGTTCGGATCCCCCCTGCCTGCAGCCGATGCAACAGCAGCAACAGAAACACCAGGAAAACTACAAAAGACAGCTTTTGGAAGAGAGGCAGAAGCGCATCGTGGAGCAAAAACTGCAGAGGAAGAAGTTGGAAGATGTAGGAATTGAATTTGATTTTTTTTGGGGGGGGGGGGAGGATGTTGTGGTTGGCTTCCATTATATTCGGCTGGCCTTGTCCTGTCGTCTTGCTTGTTTAGAATAGAATAGAATAGAATAGAATAGAATAGAATAGAATAGAATAGAATAGAATAGAATAGAATAGAATAGAATAGAATAGGAGAAAGGAGAATAGAATAGAACAGAACAGAACAGAACAGAACAGAACAGAACAGAACAGAACAGAACAGAATAGAATAGAATAGGAGAAAGGAGAATAGGATAGGATAGGATAGGATAGGATAGGATAGGATAGGATAGGATAGGATAGGATAGAATAGAAATAGAAATAGAAATAGAAATAGAAATAGAAATAGAAATAGAAATAGAACCTTAGAGCTATTAGGGAAAGAATTCCAGCAACACTTGAGTATTGGAATGCCAGTTCTATTTAAAATCAACAATATTCAAAATTCTTCCATCTTTTTTTATTTGCGCTCTTACACACACACCAATGTTGGAAGGGATTCCCTCTTGAGAAAGATATTCATCTTCCATCTGTTCCTCGTTCTAGTATTGGCCAGATCTAGTTGTTTACTTTCAACCACATGAGAACTAGCATTCACAGTTAGAGAGCAAGGGCGCAACTGGACGCAGAATAACAGGGCTGGACAGGACCTTGGAGGTCTTCTAGTCCAACCCCCTGCTTAAGCAAGAGTTGAATGTTTTCAGGCATTTGGAACATGGTGCTCATTTTTTCTCATTGCATTAGAAAAAGGATGCCGGCAGTTCCGGAAGGAACAGAAATAGATAGCTAGAACGATTAAAATGATGGTGCAGTGCTACACATCCTCTACACAACCTATTTTCCTTGTTACCTTGTGGGTAACAAGCAGAACATCCAGATTCAGTCACAGTTTTGTTCCATATAGTATCAATCTTGTGAACACTCAAGCTTCCTCTTTCCACTTTGTATTCAAAATGGACAGTGGTTAATATTTCTATGTATATATAGGTACGGGGTAGGTATATATGTATGTATGTAGCATGTGTGTATGTGTGTTATGTATGTGTATGGGTAGATATATACTTTTCTTTGAGAGCAGGCAACAGAATTTCATTTTTAATGTGGGCCAGTGTGCTCACAGTAAAAAAATGGCAATAAAGGTTATCTTTAATTATGTTAATATATTGCTATTGTTCAGCCGCTAAGTCGTGTCCAATTCTGTGTTAGTACATAGAAACCTCTAATTTGGGATCTATTTACCTTGGGGAAAAGAGATTTACAAACAGCCAAATAAAGGCATTTAAAACGATGCTCAGCATGGAGAAAAAGGATGAGGATGTATCTTTTTCTTCATTTGAGCGCTTGCTCAGGACAATTTCGTATCAGTTTATCTGTCGGTTGAATGATAGCCAAATGCAGTAAGAGGAAAAGAACATTTCTTGGGGAAACGCTGATGGTTTCCACTGAGCTTAGAAGCCGAGAGTGTCTGAACGACGCTGCCCGATGCGACCTGTGACACGAATAATTACTCCTTTTATGAGATGCCTCTGAATAAAGATGAAATGAAAGCAACGTAATTTCTTGGCCTGTGTTCAGCATCAGAAAAAGGAAGAGCTTCGGAAGCATCTGGACTTTGAAAAGAGGAACCCGGAGAGCAAAGTGGCCCCAGGCAACCTGCAGAAGGATAAACACAGCCGAGACAAGCCGGAGGAGGCGTGGTGCAAAGGGGATGCGGTCCAAAACGCAGGGATGCAACAGGTGTGGTGGTACAGAGGAGACATCTTGGGGGCATTTTGCATCCAATCAGAGTAGAGCTGGAAGGGACCTTGGAGGTCTTCCAGTCCAACCCCCTGCACAAGCAGGAGACCCTATACCATTCCAGGCAAGTGGCTGTGAACAACCGGTTCTCTGAGTGGATGCCACTTCGGGAAGTCCAGTCTGGGCCTGGGCAACAAAAAATTAGCTACTGGTTCTGCCAAAGTGGTGCGAACCGGCTGAATCCCACCACTGGTTCTGCTGTTGCTAATTCTCAAATGAAAGACACGGTTGACCTAAGCCAACTTCGCCGATCTTCTTTTGATTATAGGGCCGTTCTTGTGTTTTTTTTCCCGTTCTAGAGAAAAGCAGACGAAGGGGCTCATGGGAAGAAGTTTCATCGGACCCTTCCCAAAGATCAGACCCAGCTCCTTTGCCTCCAACACGAGCACCAGCAGAAGAATAAGGAGAGTCCTAAGATCTTTAATCTTCCACCGGGCCTTTCGTCAAACTGCGTGAGCAAAGAGGTAAAGCCCATCTTACTAACCACCAACCCTGGTCTATGTCGGATTTGGCCACTTGCCATATAAAAATGGTTTTTAATTTTTTTAAAAAATAACAGGATTTAGAAGGAAAAAGAAGCAACAGGGGGTGTTTGGGGGGGGGGATTCTCTGAGCTTGGTTGTTTGTTGTAAAAAAAAAAAAATCTCACGTGGCTGGAAACCATCTCTTTCCATCTCCAGCTTGCAAATAAATAGATTGTTGTTTGGGGCTGAATAGAAACCTAATTGAGGGTTTTATTTATTTATTTTGTAAGAATGCTTTTAGAGAGAGAGAGAAAAAAAAGAACGCTAAGAAAAGACTCATTCATCGATGAGTTAAAAACAGCCTGGAGGGACATTTTCCAAAATCACAAGACCTGCTCTAGAGGTAGCCAGGCAAATCAGAGAATAGCAGTTTTCTGAGGACGTTCAAGCAGAGTTTGAAGTGGGGAGGGTGGAATTACATCTTAGATTGAACTTCATTCTCAAAAAAAGAGGAAAACTCACCTGCAGGTATGGAGTTTTCTCCTTCTTGAGTTCTCCTGCCTAAGAGCAGGGCGTCTCCAAACTTGGCAACTTTTAAGACTTGTGGACTTCAACTCCCAGAATTCCTCAGCCAGGACCAGGTTTGTGGGGGAATTCTGGGAGCTGAGGTCCACAAGTCCACAAAGGTGAAGTCTACAGTTCAGGCAGCTGAAATCCATAAGTCTTAAATGTCCGTGGAGATTCTCAGTCATCCACGTTGTGGTTGTTCCATTGTGATGGTAAGCGGAGGACCACCTGTATAAAGGGTTTAAGGAAAAAAACGTAGTTGCAAAGTGTCATCGCTCTTCCTGGCTTTTAGAAAGTAGACTGTTCTGTTTATCCCTTCCACATTCTCTTTTTCTTTTCTTTTTTCCAAAAGGAAGAGCAAGAATTCAGGGGGGAGGCTAAAGGGTAGAAACACATTGCCAAAAGTCAGTTCCAATATCCGTTTGCGTCTCTGGCTTGCATTTCACAATTTATCTCTTTGCAGAGGGAATAAAATGCACGGTAAAATACGTCTTAGGCCATTCTGGTTAAATTTTAATCCAGATGTCCTTATTGTGTATTTCTGACATTAGCAGCTGTAGGCAGCGAGTCTCTGTAGGAAGCGTGCGACAGTCATAGGACCCAAACTGAATCTGACAGTTCCTTTGGACAGTGACACTTCTGCCTCGTGTTTTTCATCTGTCCTGTTTGTATATGTGTACACACACACACACACACACACACACACAGAGAGAGAGAGAGAGAGAGAGAGAGAGAGAGAGAGAGAGAGAGAGAGAGAGAGAGAGAGAGAGAGAGAACAGGTAGTCCTCGACTTACGACCACAATTGAGCCCAAAATGGCTGGGGCTAAGTGAGACATTTTTTAAGTGAGTTTTCCCCCTTTTTATGACCTTTCTTGTTATTAAGTCAGAAGGTCGCAAAAGGGGATCGTGTGACCTTGGGACACACAGCGACGGTCGTAAGTATGAGTCAGTTGCCAAGCGTCTGGATTTTGATCACAAAGGTCGTCAGTGTGAAAAACAACGGTCATAAGTCACTTTTTCAGTGCCGCTGTAACTTTGAACGGTCACTAAATGCCTTTATCCAGTAAGTGGGATTCTGCATTTTTTTGTGAAGGCTTACTTTATATATATATATATATTTCCCATAGTGGATTAATTTGAAAAATCTACCCAAACTGCTTGTCTAAAACCCGCACAAGCGTTTTATTTTCCGCTTAAGTCAAGCTGCAAGAGCTTTGACTGTGCTATCAATAAAAACTGTAAATAAATTTGTTTCGCCATAAGCCGGAAAAAAGCAACGCCGTGCTAGCTAGTTAAGTTAAGTTAAAGCCCCAAAGAAGAGAAGACTTCCATGAACATCACGTATGGATTGGTTTGGGTCATAAGTTAGGGCCAAAGTCAAAATCTGATTGGTGGGATTCTGAATATCAATACACACACACACAAAAAAGGCCGGGTATTAAAACAATCCGTCATATACACTGCGAAGGAAAATAGCAGAGACTCTCCAATACAAAGCGACAAAAAATATATATAACTTTTTTAGTTATGTATCTCTTGCTGTTGAACGGAAGAGATTCGATTTGGTTGATTTAAGTTTTTCTTTTTAAAAAGAAAAAAAAAGAGCAAAGGGCTAGCAAAAGAAACGCGTGGAGATGCCTCTATCTGATCTTCGGAGTGAAGAGAACAAGATAAATTGGGATGAAGTTTGCATCCTCTGCGGAATAACGATGCTCAGTGCTTGCTCTTGCTTTCTTGGCAGGCAGAAAAGAAGCTTCCGAAAAGTAACGGTGTCCAGCCGGACCTCAGCTGGACAGCTGTCCTCGGCCAGGAGACCACCCCTCACGGGAGGCTGGGGTCCGGCAGTAGTTCCAGCCCATGTACGCCAGCTTTGCAACGAGCCGTGGTGGCCCAGGTTGGGAATTCTCACCATGTTTATCGGACAGGGGAGATAGCTTGGTCATTCCCACCATCCCTTGGATCAGAAAGGTCCACACCAGTGGCTCCCAATCTTTGGGGTACCAGGGACCGGTTCCGTGGAGAGAGGTTTTTCCGTGGACCGGAGGGGGCGTGGTTTTGCATGCTGCCTGCATCCCGTGCATGGGGCATCGCTTATGTCCGCGGTTTCTGGCATGCCGTGGACCGGTGTTAGGGTCCACAGCCCAGGGTTTGGGGACCCCTGGTCTACCCAATAGTTGAGAACCACTTGAGATGATATTACCGAGCACAAAATGATTTGGGAACAGGCTACTTGAAGGACCAGCTTTTCCCAAGAGTCTGTAGTTGTCCAGTCCGATCTGGGATAATTAGACAAGCTGCAGATCCCGTCAGGCAAAGAGTGACGGCTGAAAAAGAGGCTTTTCTGCAGTCGCCTGGTCTTACGGAATATCGAATATCCGCTCCTCGGAGATTAGGATGGCCCCAACCCTGCTAGCCTTTCAAGTAAGGCTCTGAAACCCTGGCTCTGTTTCTCTGCCTCGGGTGCTGAATACGTCAAGGGTCCCATTTCCTGGCTTTATTGTGGACCAGCCAAGTATCTCGGCTGCTACGCATATTTATTTTGGAGGCTGTTTTTATAGTATTTATTGTTTTAAAAGGTTTTAATTGTTTTAATTTTAGTGTATATATGTTTTTTGAGTTGTAAACCGCCCAGAGACATTGACTGAGATGGGGAGAGAGGGGAAGAAGAGGGGGGGAGGAGAGAGAGAGGGAAGGGAAGGACGGAAGGTAGAAGGAAGATTATAATGTAGACGGAAGAAAGGATTTTCAGGAGGGAGGGAGGGAGGGAGGGAGGGAGGAAAGGAAGGAAGGAAGGAAGGAAGGAAGGAAGGAAGGAAGGAAGGAAGGAAGGAAGATTATAATGTAGCTGGAAGAAAGGATTTTCAGGAGGGAGGGAGTAAAAGGAAGGAAGGAAGGAAGATTATAATGTAGCTGGAAGAAAAGATTTTTAGGAGGGAGGGATGGTGGTTAATTGACTGCAGGTAGATTGAATGGTGCACGCCCACATATGAGAATGGGATCACCATGTAGGCATCATGTAGCTGCATCCGGGTCAAAGGGCTATATAGAAATCTAACTAATAACTAACCAAACCTGTTGGAATTGAGAATAGCACATTTTCTCCAACACTTACATATGCAAAGGGGTGTTTTTTTCCCCCAGGCTCTCTTTTAGGACGGGTCTACCCTTAAATCCACTAGCATGATTCCCAATACTTTCCAAATCTGATCTGTTTTAATTCCTGTGCCAACCGCTAGAGTATTATTATTCTTTGCTACGATTGGAGGAGGGAAACGTAGAGAATTTTATTTTCTGCCCTTCCTCAACAGCTTAAGACAGCTCTATTCTAATAGGACAATCCATTTTTTTCCTTTAATCCAATCTTTTGGGGCTCCTAAGAAACCACATCAGCCGTTTACTTCCTTTCCAACGTCAAGATTATGTCATCCTGTCCTTTCCACCTGCTTTGGCAATTGTCAGACCAATTAATCACTTGTCTTCTTCACACACACACACACACACACCCCTCCCAGCTTCACATCTCTCCTCTTTTTCCCACCCCCTCCCGACGGGCACAGCTGTCCAAGTCCAGCATCCACAGGCTGGCTTTGATTGAAAGGTTCCAGGGTTTATCGACACCCCATTGTTCCTCCCAAACTGACAAATTAATGTTGCTTCTGAGCAGCGTTAAAGTCTGCTCAGACTGTTTTTTGCAGTGACATGAAAGGCCTGTTTTTAAGGATTGATTCGGAGATGCTAGGCTTGCAGGGACCCCAAAAGCCCTTAGACAGATAGTTGTGTTTCCACTGAAAACCTTCGGCGGTGCATAATTTGTACAACTTCAGGCATGCAAGCTCTGCTTCATGGAGCATGGAGGGGAGTGCTTAGATATAGCTTTGGCCTTTGTTGAAGAGGACGTGGTGTAGAGCAGGGGTCCTCAACCTTGGCCACTTTAAGACTTGTGGACTTCAACTTCAAAGCTGGCTGAGGAATTCTGGGAGTTGAAGTCCACAAGTCTTAAAGTTGCCAAGGTTGGAGAGCCCTGGTGTAGAGTTCACACAATGTCCCCTTGGCTCAAGCACAGAAAACTCTTGGTTGCTTCTTAAATCTGCACGCCGCAATCCAAGCTCACGAGCCTTTATCCTCGAGACGAGATTTTCTGCAGATGCCGATGCCACTTCCGGTTGCCATTTTGAAATCTCCTGTCCCCCTGGAAGATGGTTGGTTTTAGCTTGAGGAGTATTTGCAGCTGAGTGCGAGTTGCTGCGTTGCAGCCCACTGTTAATGCTTCCTGGTCTCTCCTACTCCCCTCCACCCTTCTTCATTTTACAGCAACTGCCGGTGGCGTGGAAATAGACAAATTGATGATATGATATCATGCAACATCCTCGCTTTTTATTTTTTATTTTGTAAAAATAGAGGGAAGAAATTTGGAGCTTTATCCATTGCGGTTCCCAAAAGGTTCTGCCTTCTGCCTTGATTTCCCCCCTCCCCCCCTCTTCTGCTGGTGAGCCATGTGGAAGGGACAACGTGGCCTCACATATATCACAACTGCCCTTTATTCTGCCTTGGTTTGAAATGCAGATTTGTCTAATTTGTCTTTTACATTTTCTGGCTGCTCTGCTCTGCCACTTCCCCCTCCCCCCCCCCCCCCAAATCCCTCTTCCTTTCCTTATTATTTCAGGGATGGGTGTATGGGGGGAGTAAGTACAAAAATTAATGTTTGCTGTAGAAAGAGAAAAAAATATGAAGCGTCCTTTGGATTTGCACAACTGAAATGTTCACCAAAAGGGGAAAACAATCTCAGAAAGGTTTTATTTCGGATGGATGGATGGATGGATGGATGGATGGAATGGATAGATGGATAGATGGATGGATGGACGGATGGACGGACACGCGTAGTAGACCAGTATGTACCAGCAGTGCTCCAAAGAGCCATGTGTGAAATAAAGAAATCTTATTTCTTTTATTTCATTTTTCATTCGAAAGAGCAAGGCTTGCAGCCCTGGAGGTAGAAGGATGTTGTGGCCCTTAATCAGCTGTGACTCAGAAGAGAGAAATGTCGGCCGGTGAATAAAGGATACCCCTCTGGAGAGTGCCGGATCCTTCTCGCCAGGCGAGACCTGACAGAGAGGCCAAATGAAAAGCTTTTGCTGCAGGCTCTCCTCTCGTAATTTTGCCAGGATCTATGATGTTGCAGAATCCCAGTGAATCAAATTCGCTGCGGTTGTGGCAAGCAGGGTTGGGAGAAGACATCCATCTACAGTAGGGTGCCCGAGTGTGGCTTGCCTTCTTCTTCTTCTTGGGCGTAAGACAGATGGACAATGTTTTCCCCCTTCTCTTCTGTTACTCCTGCCCTTCTGAGGGTGGTGATTTAACAGCAGCCACGGAACGTCACGGAAACTATAGCCGTTGGTGTGTTGTTGTCACCGATGAGTTTGCGGCTGAAAGTCTGGGGTGTGGAATGGGATGGATGGCTCTTTTCCCTCAGAATAAGTCCATTAGGCCTAGTTAGTAGGAGCTTTCTTTCAATGTAGACAAAGACTTCAGGTGGCTGGAAAATAAGGATGTGGTTGCTGGATTGTGGTTGTGTTTTGGGCTCTAGAGTATGAAGCCAGGGGTTCTTCTCCAGGGTGCTGATTCCTGGCCTAAGAGTCTGGTTGGCCTTCCTCAACATACAACCTCAACTGAGCCCCAAGTTTTTGTCGCTAAGTGAAAGAGTTGTTAAGTCAGTTTTGCCCCATTTTACGCCCTGTCTTGCCACCCTTGTTAAGTGAACCACTGCAGTTGTTAAGTTAGTGACATGGTTGTTAAATGAATCTGGCTTTCCCATTGACTTTGCCTGTCAGAAGGCCGCAAATGGGGATCATGTGACCTCCCCCGGGACACTGCGACCGTCATAAATGTGAGTCAGTTGCCAAGCTTTGGGAAAGGAATGGAGGCGAAAGTAGAGGTAAAATTAAATCAAGAGATGGCGAGTGAATTACTCGATAGCTTATCTCATTAACAGAGCTTAACCCTGGTGGCAAAAACGCTGAGGAGAAAGAACTAGAATAATTCACAGAAATTGAATGAGCTCACTAAAAATAGACAGTCATCATCACCAGAAACTTTTTCTCTGCCTGCTTTCCTTATAAAGAATGAAAACCTCCGAACGAATCGGGATGTGTATCACAGCAGTTTGTTGTCTGATGTTGCTGTCACGCCCCTGAGTCCCAGCCAGGATGAGGTGTTTTGGAGTCTGCCTCAGACTGAAGAACAACCACCAAAGGTAACGAAATTTTGGAAGAATTTTTGGATGAAAAAGAGGATATAAAATAAGGATATATCACGACATTTCTGGGACCATCACATTTTCCAAAGTGTGGTCCTGTGGCAAGGTTCTGCCCCATAATACTTCTGGATACCGCTGACAGTTATAATGAATAAATCAGCTTTAAACAATTCCAGGTTGGGCCTTCTAGACTCCCTGTTTTGTTTTGGGTTTTTTTGTTTTCATTATTCCCCCCCCCCTCTTGGAAGTCTTTCCTGGGCAAGCTGAGGGTGGTGCCCATTTTACCACATGGCTGGGGGAATTCTGGGAGTTGAAGTCCACACATCTTAAAATGGCTGAGGTTGAGAAACGCTGATCTAGAAGTCCCAAAGGTGCTTTTTCAAAAGGCAACCGGATCGTCTTTGTTTTTCCTTGAAGACGTTTCGCTTCTCATCCAAGAAGCTTCTTCAGTTCTGATTCTTCGCATCCAAGAAGCTTCTTCTTCAAGGAAAAAAGAAAATATACAGTTGCCTTTTGAAAAAGCACCTTTGGCTCAACCATGACCTGGGATGGGTGAGAATCTCCATAGATACTGATGTAGAAGATGCTACAAAAATTGCAGATGTGGTCAGTTCTGATTTTCCTGGGCTTTCAATCTTGAAGGTTCCTCAAAGGACAACATCGACGTTTTACACCAGAGAGCAGTGTGGGCATCAGAGTTTTTCTTCGAGGTGGGTGCAATTCCTTCTCATATTGGGATACCTGCAGTTGAGCCATTTGCAGCCTTCAGACAAAGGTAGCTTCAGTCCAGCTTCAAAAGTCCTTCCCAAGCCAACAGTTCAGAATTTCAGCAGGACCCAATTGTCTTCTGTGGAAGCCTGTAGCATGAAGGTGATAAGAGAGGGGTGGAGGAAGCAGAGAGGAAGAAGTGGAGAAAAGATGGAAGGGGACAGGTGAAAGCAGACCACTGTGGAACCCAAGAAAACAGCTTTTTGTTGCCGTTCCCAAGAGCTGAGCTCAATTCATAGACATCTTCACTTTTTAGCTGGAAGCGGGGAAGGAGATAACTCTGTTCTGGTTCAAATTCATGTTCCCAAGTCAGGGAAGAATTTGGGGATTGTAATGTTTACCTGGCACTTGAGATGAGCTCTATAAGCCTTTAAGAGTAGTATTTCCAAACCTCCAGGACCTTTCAGTGTTTTTAATGGAAATCTTGTTACTGTGATTTTAGGCATGTTATTGTGGAATTGATTAGCTTTTTGAAGTATCTTCTTCTTCTTCTTCTTCTTCTTCTTCTTCTTCTTCTTCTTCTTCTTCTTCTTCTTCTTCTTCTTCTTCTTCTTCTTCTTCTTCTTCTTCTTCTTCTTCTTCTTCTTCTTCTTCTTCTTCTTCTTCTTCTTCTTCTTCTTCTTCTTCTTCTTCTTCTNTACCGCTGTAGACTTTCTGAGCGATCCAACGAGCATTTACGGTGTCCATTCCCAAGGAAAGAGAATGTGGGAAAGCAAGTTCTAGAAGAGAAAAGGGGTTCTGTTAAGTACATTTGTTTGCTAGCTGCTTTGCTCATGCTCGCCCCATCTTCATGTGACTTTATACGTGTGTGGGTGAACATCTGCATTCTAGATGTTTCCATTAACTGCAGGGCAAGCTGAAATCCATAGAGGAGCTGTTGGTGTTTGCAAAGAATTAACTACCTGGTTGTGATATTTCTTTTTCTTTGTCAGCCTTGGCCTTTTATTTTATCAAGCAAGATATGTAAATTTCTCAGTCGGAATAGCTGGAGGGTTGCCTTAAAACAGGAAGGAGAATATTTCCATATGTTTTACAGCGGTTCGTGTAGCAGAGGTTCTCTGAGCTTGGATGGAAATGAGTCAGTGGGGGGAGGAGACAGAGGAAGTGGTGGGATCTAGAGGTGTCCTGGGCTCTGAAGTCAACTGGGTGTCCTCAGATAATCCCACCTCTCAACCTAACCCAGGGCAATCCTGTTTATATTTTTGTGTCTCAAACACCTTTTTGAATCTGGTGAAACCTACAGACCCCTTCTCAGAAAAAATATAGTTAAATGCACCAGTTAAAAAGGCCAAGCTACAGACTATGGGACAGAGGAAACCAATGACACGCAAACAAAATTATCAAAATATTTTTTTAAAAACAAGAAATATCCAGGTGCTTCTTCAAAAATCCACTAAACCAATGACAAAGTAATATCCTTTTTAGGGTATAAAAATTTTAGAATGTGAGACTTATTTTAGTTGACAAAATGTTTGGAGTGTAGAGGCCATAAAATTACTCTGTTGCTTAGCAAAAAATTCAGTTAGAGGTTAGTGAACTTCTTAAATTGTTGATGGAGCCCGCTGTTTTAGCTTATCTTAGCTAAGTTAAATTTGCTCAGACTATTCTCTTTTAAAACTTTCCTGCGTTTCCACTCTAAAATGTCCTTGAAGCAACATAGAGGTGTTGTAAAATAGCAAAAAAATAATAATAAAAATCTCAAATCCGTTTTATAAAACGCAATCATTCAGGATGAAAGAGTCCACTGAAGTTTCTTTGTGTTCTTTACCAATTCAAGTACAACAAATCTGTGAGACACAAAATGCATCTGTTTGGAAGTTAAGAACAGTTGAATTGTTTTGCTTTGGACAAATGCTGGCAACCACTTCCCTGGGGCAATTTATAGACATCTTAAGATCCAGTGCTCTTATTTAAATGATTAAATAATATGCATGCATCAGTAAATATTTCTCTTTACAACATCCAGAGTCCTCCAGAATAGACAACAGACATCTCCAGCCCTGTAAGAAACTTGAAAATACATCTCATTCAGGCCAAATTTCAGTAAGTTTTTTTCCCCTTTTCCCTTCTAATACTTCTACAGTTCTACATTATCATTCTGTTCTAGTCTCAAGGTTTATCTTGGTTCTCTTCTTCTTCTAGTTTCATCAGTGTTCTTTTTTTCTCTTCCTTTTTATTGTTTTTACTCTAACCCCTAATGGATGTCTTTAAAAAATATATCTTTAACATATTTGAAAGAGCATCTAAGAGGTGCTACCAAACCACCTCCCTACTGTTAATGAAGACGTCCATCAAGTCAACTGAAGTCAACCTGGCGTTGAGGGACTCTTTATCCTTTGTTCCTGCCTGTTAATTAATCAAATTCAGGTCCCTGTCTGTTTACCTCTGCTTTATCAAGACCCAAAGGAGCTCTGTTTTCATTGGGTTTTGGGTTTGGGATGATGTGTGGACTGGTGAAAAGTTTTGACTATTCAGAGATTCAGAAGATGGGGTTTCAATGTTGTGCCACGTAGAGCAAGTTAGACTTATCTTCTTTCTGCTTGTATTCGGGAGAAGAATGCTGGAGAAGCCATCCCATTTGGAACATTCCACTGGGTTAAAATAAGTATCTTGATTGGGGATTATACTGTAGTGGCACTCTTAGGTGAGATGTTCATCTCTGACCATAAGCATTTGCTTTGAAGTTGTAATGTTGGACCGTCAGGTTGATGATGAGCTGCTCTTCCAAGACTCAGAAGCCTCTTCTGGACTTCTTTGAGTTGAAGTCCACAAGTCATCAAAGCTCTGGCACAAACCATCTTCTGATTGTACTACGCATGCACTATTCGGTTTAGGAGCTGTGGTTTTCCTTCACAAGAGTCCTGAAGGATCTGAAGGAGAGTTTCATTTAAATACAAAGCCTTGTCATTGGCATATCCTAAATCGGCCCGTGGATTGATCTAGATACCAGCAAGGAGCAAAAGATTGAACTCAATCAGAATGATTGGTGTGGTGACTTTGCTTACTGACCGTTTGAAGTTACAATGGACCGTAAAAACGGGGGAACAAGGGCTTCACTTAATGACGGTGGTGTTTGCTTTACGATTGCTGTGAAAACTGATAAAATCAGCCCCAATCACACTTTATGGTTGTCAGGACTTACAACTCAAAATTGTGGGTTCAATTAGAGTCGAAGGCCGAGAACGACCTGCTTGCTTAAAAACTGGGCCTTCCCAAGTAAGGGCTGTGTTTGTTGTCAAATATTTATTGTATTTTTATTTATGGCGGGCTTGTATTCCAATCTATTTGAGGAGGATCTTTTATCCTGAAGGCCAAGATAGAAATACTTGCAATAAATCAGGATTAAAGCAGAGGCTAGGAGAGACAGAAGGACGGTAAAAGTAAAGACTTTGTTGAGGTGAGCTCCACTCCTAATCACTTCACGGTCAGGCCAAACAACTTGTTCCTGGCAACGTTGCCATATTTTACCTTTTTTCTACAATATATAAATATTCACAATAAAGATATGTGTTTAAAGGGGGCTTAGATCAGGGGGTACTTTGTGTCAAGGCCTTGTACGCGCTGAAGCTACAAACCAGGTTCTTCTCGTTCTTAGAGTCCAGCTTTGTGGAACAAGGAGAAGGTCGGCAGCCATCTGCTCCGGAAGTCTCTAGAATATTCCTCCTCCAGTGACGAAATGGGCAGCAGTGACGAGGATGATGAGGGTGACGGACACATAAGGTTGGCTCTCCCAGTGTTCAGCCTCCAAGTCCTTTTATCAGGGCCCTCGTTGCTTTGAACAGTCGCTAAGCAAACAGTCATAACTTGAGGACTGTCAGTATCTTTTGCTCCCATCCAGTGGCCATTTGGAATTTCAAAACCTGAATCTGAATTTGAAAGTTTTTGGAAAGTGTCAGTGTCGGTCTACAGCAGGGGTCTTCAAACTTGGCCCTTTGATGACTTGTGGGCTTCAACTCCCAGAACGCTGGCTGAGGAATTCTGGGAGTTGAGGTCCACAAGTCATCAAAAGGTCAAGTTTGAAGACCCATGAATGATCTTTGATTTGTCCAGCTTCTGATGGTTTGGACTACAGTTCCTATCCTTCCTGAAAGAGTTGGGGTGTTGTAGGTTTCTTGGGTAAGATTGGATGGGTTTGCCTGCTTCCGGATGCAGATGGGAGATGACATTAAAGGGTTTGGTCTTGGAGGCTGCTGTTTCTTTGTGTTTTTATTTTTAATGTGTGTATGCACGCGTGTGTGTTTATGCGTGTGTTAGTTTTCCTTTTGCGTCTTTCTTGGAGGGTCTTAAAAATACATTTATTTTCCTCTCCTCCTCCTCCTCCTCCTCCTCCTCCTCCTCCTGCGCTAATTGGGATTTGTTACTAGGCAACCGCTTGGCAATGGAGTGACCGGCTTCCCAAGGGCAGGAATTGCTGACGGGATCGAACTGAACTCTCCCTGCCTTGTAACGGATCGCAAGGTAATCTTCTTTTGCGAAAGAAATCTAGTCTAGTGGATGGGTAAAAAAAAAAAAAAGAGAGAGAGAGAGAGAATAGAGAAGTCACATTTTCTTCTGCCCTATTTGTAACTTAGCTTCACCCCCTTTTTTTCCAAGTATCTGCTCACATTTCGGTCGTGGAAATGACCCTGTGTTGTGTGAAATTCCCTTTTCTGGTCTTTGAGAGAGAAAGAAGAAACCTGGAGTAGCTCGGGATAATTTAATTTACGATATCCCTCATTCCAATGCGGCCCTCTCTCAACACAGGTAGTCCTTGACTTACGACCACAGTTGACCCCCAAATTTTGTTGCTAAGCGAGACAACAACAACAACAATAATAAAGTTGGAAGGGACCTTGGAGGTCATCTAGTCCCACCCTCCTGCTCAGGCAGGAAACCCTATACCATTTCAGACAAATGGCTGTCCAGTTTCTTCTTAATAACTTCCAGTGTTGGAGCATTCACAAGTTCTGGAGGCAGGTTGTTAAGTGAATCTGGTTTCCCCGTTGACTTTGCTTGTCAGAAGATCGCAAAAGGGGATCACGTGACCCCGGGAACACTATGCAACTGTCGTAAATACGAGTCAGTTACCAAATGTCTGAATTTTGATCCTGTGACTCCGGGGGAGGTCGCAGTGTTTTTAAGAGTGAAAAATGATCATAGGTCACTTTTTTCAGCGTCATTGTAACGGTCACTAAACTAAACTAAGGGTTCTAAAGTCTTTTGAAAGAAATGGGAAAATACAGGAAGGGGGAAAAAAAGGTCTTTAAAAAGGACAGGCACATCTATCCATGTTTTCCAGATTCGGTTCCCTCGGGACTCCTGCTTTGAACAAGCAGGCGAAATCTCCCGTTAGCCAGATCTTATCCTTTGGCTTATGGGAATTAGAATAATCAGATTAAAAACAAGGGGATTAGGAAAGGTTATGAAGTCAGATTAAACGCTTGGGAGATCAGGGCTTCATTGAAACTTCTTTAGCCCGTTTAAACTCCTCCCCCCCCCCCCCCAGATTTGAAGAAAAAAACTTCGGTGAACTTCGTTGCTGTATCCAACTTAAACAACCACAAGTTAAGAGCACAATTTCCACCGCTAAGCAAGGCAGTTTATTAAGTGAGTTGCGCCTGGCTTTACGTAAAATGGGGCCAAACTCACAGAAATTTGGGGCTCAATCGTCATAAGTCGAGGACTGTTTTGACTTCCTGGTTTCCTCCGTGTCCCCATATTTCCCCAAGGAATGATTTGACTTTTTCAAAATTTGGTTTCGCCTCTGGATCTCACGGAGCGCCTGCAGGCATCTGCCGAGGCTTCGTCCCAGCCAGCCAAGTCCATGGCAGACCATTTCTATCTTCTGTGCCAGCAATAAAACATCTTTCTCGAATTATGGCTTCCACGCAACTTAGAGAAGAAGAGGCAGCATCCCGTTATCTGCAGTTGCATCCATCCTGGCTCTGCAACCTTTCCAGAATTGCCAGGCTTTTAAATCCAGAAGTCTCACGGGATTATAAAGCTGAAAGGATTCAAAGATTTTTCCAAACCACAGCCGGGCCTGGAGCCAGGTTGTTTTGTGGCTTAGGTCTGCAAGCCTAGTTCGATCTGAAACAGCCCGAGTCTAATAAAAGGCAATCCGGCGTGTTTGCAGGCAGATGTGTTCTTTAAAGATTCCAAAAAAGCTATCCCAAATCCCCTTCTCTAACCCTGTCATTCAAGGCAGCCCATGAATACAATCTGAAGAACATTCATTTCTACTTCAAGGGAAGTCCACGATGGACTTCCTTGACTTCATTGACAAAGATTTTGTGAAGAATAAGTTGACCGTAGCTCTTGATGCTTTCTCAAAATTTGGCAAGGAAGACTTTAGAATCCTAGAATCCTAGGGCTGGAAGGGACCTTAAAGGTCTACTAGTCCAACCCCTTGCCAAAGGCAGGAGACTGCATATCGTTCCAGACAAATGGTTGTCTAATCTTTTCTTGAAGACCTTCAACGATGGAGCACTGATAACTCCAGGAACCAAGCTGTTTCATTGATTAATTGTTCTCACTGTTAGGAAATTTCTTCTTAGTTCCAAAGAAGAAGAAGAAGAAGAAGAAGAAGAGGAAGAGGAAGTAGTAGTAGTAGTAGTAGTAGTAGTAGTAGTAGTAGTACCTTTCTTACAGCACACTCCAGACGTTAAGGCAGGAGTAAATTACCCCCAAATTGGGTAAAAAAAATATTTTTTCGTTGGGTAAGGACACATGAGCTCATTGCCCAGTTGTAAGTGGGACATTTAAATAAGGACTTTCTGATAAACGATAAAAATAACTTTCTTCTAAGTAGTTTTCCGACTCGGTTGCTTATTGGGAAGGTAAACTGAGGCAGAACCTAGGGGCTGATTTGGCTATCAGGATATTGGAGAAAAAGATTTGGGAAGCACTTCCTTAAGGTCATTCTGGAAAAAATCCTGCTCCACTCAGCCCCCATCCTAACATCTGGAAGAAAGGAACGAAGGATTTTCAGTTCAGAGAGTGATGCTATTGGTGAGGCACAAAAATCTTCCCGCTGTAATGCTGTTTTCCTGACCTACTGGGGTTTCTTTGTCTCTTGATCTCAGGCAACTGAGAAGATAGATAGGCTGGTGGACAACTTGGAAGATGGACATCTCAGGAACCCCACAGACCACGCCCAGGGTCCTTTGAAGCCCGTGTTGTCCACCAGCATCCCATTTTCATCCCCGTATTACTGTTTTCCATTCCTCTGACCCTCAGAGTGTTGACTTTCCTTCCATAATCTGATCTCCGTTAGCTTTGAGGTAGGACAGAGATTTGGACAGGTTGCCTGAATTTGTTTCCCTAAGTGCTGCTACGAACAGGAAGAAAGAAAGGTGGAGAGTGGAGGGGCACAGAACGCTTCCTTAACCCTTGCTGCAGCTTAGGTGTTCAATGTGTTCTTTGGTGCAGGACAATGCTGCAGGAACAGGTGGTGGTGGCGCTCGTGAAGATCTCTGGAGCATGAACAACCAAAATTATCTGCTGCCCGACCTCCTCCAACAGAGTCAGATCTCAGCAAACCAAGTGAAAACTTCTGCTCAGGAACTTCAGGACAATCCTCCTGCTAACCAGGTCAAAGCTCCTTAAACGAGTCACAAATGTTAAACTTAAAAGTCTGGGTTTTTAAAAACGGGGGAACGGTGAACGTCTGGTGACCATCGCATCCTCTGTGTGCATGATGGGGAAGAGGTCAAGGGGAAATGAGGGGCAAATGGTTCAATGGTTGCATGGCTCTGCAAAAGTGCAAGTCAAGATGGGCCCTAAGATGTGATGCATCTAAGTTACCATTGATGAGACATTCTATCCGCGGGAAGCTGAAGGAGCTGTTTTGCTTTGGATATTTCCTGTAGGTGGATCAGATCTACTCCCTGCTCCTTCCCCTAGTCCAGTGGTTCTCAACCTGTGGGTCAGGACCCCATTTGGGGTCGATCGACCATTTCACGGGGGTCGCCAAGCAAGGCTGTCCGCCATTTTTTTTGTCCGCCATTTTTTTTGTCCGCCATTTTTTCCCCCCTTTTCCGGCGGTTGCCTTACCTCCCTTGGGCTGGGCCAGCTGGTGGTCGGCCTGCTCCGTCTCTGCCGCTTGCCAGCTACGCCTCGGCCGGCGCAGGGGGCGGAACCACGCATGTGCGGCGCTCCCGGGCAGGGAAAGTCCTCGCCTTATGACCGGTTGGGTAGTCCTCGACTTACAACCGGTTTAGTCCTCGACTTACGACCGGTTTAGTCCTCGACTTACGACCAGTTGGGGTCGCGGCATTAAAAAGGTTGAGAACCACTGCCCTAGTCTAAGTCCATTATCCACATCCACTTTTTGTATTTAAAGGTAGAAAGTGATGGGGTGTAAATCTCTTCTATCATGGTCCTAAGTAGACTATCACTCGTGATCTTGGCTCATGGTCATGTCGCTTTCTTACATCGCCCTCTTGGGTTTTGAGGGACCTTGGCTGGATTGACTCCAGTTGCAGAGATCTCTCTCCCAGCAGCAAAAGCAGCAGTTCTGTTTCAGGGCTGCACCCCAAGGAATCAAACACAAAGTATGTGAGGTCTCACAAAGTTGACTATTCGCTTCATCATATCCAGCCCACCAGTTGCAAACGGTTGAAGGTAGATCCTTAATTAATTTTTGATTCTTATTTTTACAGCAGGCACTGAACACTGACAGTACCCCTTCCAAAAACAGTTCCTCCTCTACATCATCTTTTACCTCCTTCATCGATCCTAGACTTCTCCAAATCTCACCCCCTTCCAGTCCAGCTGGACCAAACTGTGGTTCCCGTAAGTATAGACAAGGTCATCCTTGCCTCTTTTACTAAGTGGGTGGGAATTATAATTTCTGGCATCCGGGATGAGGTCGAAGCTAGAGTGGTACAATGTATGGCTTCTGTGCAAAGAATTTCAAGACAAGGTCGCTGGAATCTTCAGAGTTGGTTGAACAGACCATCAGTGTCAAGCTCCAAGTAGGGTGGGCAAGACCAAGAAGCAAGAACTGCCCTAATATCAGTAGGGCCAGCGCTATTCTGGTTTAAACAGGGGAAAAACTCCACTCCCTTCTAGCACTGATGATGTTACCTAGTTAGGTCGTGAAACATCTGCAAGAAAACAAACTCAGAAAGCACCAAAGACCACACAGTTCAACCCTGAGCTATGAATATTCTTTTCTATTGGCAATAAGAATCCCCCAGTCTGATTTATAGGGAAATATTTAATCAGAGTCTCTATAAATTATTTGAAATGCTTCTTCCTAGATTTCTTGTGACTTGAACTCAAGTGTCATATATGAGGTAGCTGCCAACAGAGTCATCTTCTATCTCTTGATTGTTGATGTCTATCTCTCTTCCATTCCTCTCCCTGCTTCTCCACCATGTCTTATAACCATCATCGTAACCAATCCCACTATTATTAGAAAGTAGAATATAGATGTCATGGACCTTTAGATGCTCAGGCCCAACAGCTACGTTCACAACTCTCCTCTGCTTTTCCTCCCAGCGTCCGATGTGACAATGGATCCCCCAAGGCGGCAAAATACAAGAAAAGGTTCTGTGGTCAACGTGAACCCTACCAACATCCGGCCACAGAGCGACAGCCCTGAAATCCGCAAATATAAAAAGAAGTTCAATTCCGAGATCTTGTGTTCTGCCCTGTGGGGTGAGTAACCTGGTTTGAAGCAGAGACAGATGCTGGCAAACAGGGTCAGTTCTTCGCCCTTTCAGCTGATGTAGGACACACCGTTTTGAATGTAAAGCTCACATGTGCCCCAGTTGCCTCACGTCTGGTCAGCCTGCTTTGGTTTTGCCTTAGTATGTTGAGTTATCTGTGGTTTGATTGTGGATGGATCCAGGCATTGTGCTCTACTCAGCAAACTGTGATCAAGCTGTGGTTTAGTATAATATCTGGACACAGCCATTGAATACTAAGGTGGTAGAAGAGATGGCTGTTCAGTCCAGGAACCATTCTTGAGCACTAAGATCATGGGGAGATCATGGGGAGAAGTCATTGCACTAAGTAAATGATGCAGTTACTGGCTTACATCTTGTTGAGGTTCACCTCAACAAGATTTTGCTCTACAGAATCCTTGCTTCTTTTTCTCATGTAAAACTAAGACATAAAAGGTCTTGTGCTTCCATTGTAAACAAGAACGTGGACCTCTCTTCAGCTGGTGGAGAAACTGGGAGTGGTGAAGGAGGTCTGGAATTATGTCTTCTTCCTGGCCTCTTATCTCAAGGTGTCCCATCTAGATACATCTCTTTCCCTCAGTTTGGGAATGTCCTGAGGGCATCAGCTGACGGTCACCACAGGTTCCTACTTCAAAGTTTAATATATTAAATGCGGGACTCCAGTCTTAGTTGTTTCAGCATACATTTTTGTGGTTCTCCACCGGCTTTCATTTTCCATCTTTCTGACATCAAGCGACAGGCTTCAGAAAGCCGGCACAATATTTTTTTTGCCCATGCCCTTCTGCTTCGACTTAAGTCTTAAATGAGAAACAAAATAAATGAATGAAAGTGCCAGGAAGAAATTATCCCAGGAAATGTAAATTTACAGTTTACAGCTCTCTGGGTTTCATTTGATGTATGTTTGGAAGAGGCCAAGTTTTTTAAATTAAGAACAGAACAGCATAGCAAAGCTGGTGATGATTTGTGTGCTGAGGTGGAGGACGCTATCTTCTTAGCAGCCTCCTGCTTGGAGCTTCCTTTGCCTCCACACCCTGCCCCACAAGACTCAGGTTTCATTCTTTCCACCTCAACTTTCCTTATCAACCGTATCAACATGGCCCAACCTAAGGGAAACCTCATTCCTTCGGCTGTCTGTTTGGATCAGTGGAACAGCTGGCCTCCAGAAGTTGTGGGTGCTCCAACACTGGAGGTTTTTAAGAAGAGATTGGACAACCATTTGTCTGAAATGGTATAGAGCAGCGATGGCGAACCTTTTAGAGACCGAGTGCCCAAACTGCAACCCAAAACCCACTTATGCATCGTCGGGTGCTGGGTGGGTATGGCCCATGGGTTGGGCGTGGCCCATGGGCTGGGTGTGGCTGTGGTAGTAACGGCAGACTAGGTGGGACTAAAAAGTTCAATCAATCAATTCTAACTTTGCAAGATTTTTTTTCCCATGAGAAGTTGAAATTGACTGATTGAACCTTTTTTTTTTTTTTTTTTGCACACGGTAGCAGAGGCCTAAAGTGAAAAGGTTTTATAAAACCCAGCTGAAGGCCTAGGACAGTGGCGACAGCGCGTGTGCCCACAGAGAGGGGTCTAAGTGCCGCCTCTGGCACCCGTGCCATAGGTTCGCCACCACTGGTATAGAGTCTCCTGCCTGAGCAGGGGGCTGTCCTAGAAGACCTTCAAGGACACTACCAACTCTGTGATTCTGTTGACCTTCAATCCATCAGCATTTTCTTTGGTCTCAAAAGTTGCTGGCAACTTGGATTTTTCCAGGTTGTTGTCTTTAACTAAACCATGGTTGAAAACACAATGAAGATTTCCTACAGTGAGCTGACCCAGCCATTCCAGAGATCTGCTTGTAAGTCCATACTATGTTCTTTGCATGTCAACAGGGGTGAATTTACTGGTTGGGTCCGAAAATGGATTGTGGCTTCTGGACCGGAGTGGACAAGGTCGCGTTTACTCTTTGATTAGCAGGAGACGTTTTCAACAGATGGACGTGTTGGAAGGACTGAATGTGCTCATTACCATCTCAGGTGTGTTTGCTGTCGAAAAACTTCTGAGCTAACATTCAATACCAAGCAATGAGAGAGGGGGAGGACTAGACCATGCACTGAATTATAAAATGTTGTCAGCTCTTGCCAAACCTTACAAAGATGGTTAGGGGATCTGGAGACTAAATTGTACCATGAACGGCTAAGGAAAGTAGTTATGACTAGTCTAACGAAGAGAAGGCTTGGGGAGATCTGATAGCACTCTTCCAATATTGGAAGGGCTGTAACAGGGGAAAGGGTGTCAACTTCTTCTCCAAACCAGAGGTCCCCAACCTTTTGGACACCAGGGACTGGTTCCGTGGAGAGAGGTTTTTCCGCGGACCGGAGGGGGCGTGGTTTTGTGTGCTTCCTGCATCCCATGGATGGGGCTTTGCTTGTTTGTGTGGACTGGTTGCTGGCATGCTGCAGCCCGGTACCGGTCCACGGACCGGGGGTTGGGGACCCCTGCTCCAAAGCACCTGAAGGCAGGGCGAGAAGCAATGGGTGGAAGCTCATCAGAGGGAGATACAAGCTGGAAGTAAGGAGGAATTTCCTGACAGTGAGGACACTTAATCAGTGGAACAACTTGCCTCCTGGAGTTGTGGATGCTCCACCGTTGGAGGCTTTTAAGAAAAGATTGGATAGCCATTTGTTTGGGATGGCACAGTTAGCCCTTGACTCACGACCGCAAGGGAGCCCAAAGTTTCTGTTGCTAAGTGAGACATTTGTTAAGTGG